CCCGGCCCGGCCCGCGGCCTAGCCCCAGCGGCCACCGCGGGCCCGTTCCCTCCGGCCGGGCCCTCACCTCTTGGGCGCTGCCGGCTCCATGGTGCGGGCGGCCTCGGGTGCAGCCGCACCCGCCCCGCCAACTCCGCACAACTTCGCGGCGGCGCTGGCCCTTTAAATGGGACTCGCACCTCCCCCGCGGGCGCCGCTCTCAGACAAACGCCGCTGGCGCCACCGTGCCTGCTGGTCGCCGAAAGCCCGCCCCATCCGCTCCGTTCTCTCATTGGCCTCGAGGGGGCACGGCGAAAGACGCGGATTGGGTCCCACCGACGTCAATTGTTTGACTTTAAGGACCCAGGAGGCGGAAGCGAGAACCTATGTCTTCCCCCAGGAGCTGGCGGATGCGAGGCTCAGGGAGCAGCTAGCGCGTTCCAGGCGTGCTGCCGCGGGGCACGCTGGGACATGGAGTCCCCCACGAGGCCGCCTCCTGCATGGGTTCCCCTCTACTGGCCGGCTCGCGTCGCCTGCATGTGAGGGGCACGACCCCGCGGTCCCCGAGCTCGGGCGGGGCTGCTCCAGCGCAGCCGTTCAGCACCGAGGCAAAGGGCTCCTGGCGCGGCCCCGTCTGCCGAGGGGGCTTCCAGCCGGGGCTTGCTGCTGCCGGAGGCGCGATGGGGCCGGGCTGGTGCCACAGCCACCCCTCCTGCATGCGGGCAGGCAGCACAGCTGTTTGGCTTGCGTGTCAGGGCACCTGCGCTTCTGGTGGTCTCGGGCGTAGAGACGTAGCTGCCCTTCCTCCACCACCGCTTTGTGCCGTTTCCAGATTCCCAGTGGAGCCGTAGAAAGGGGTGCATCCATGGAGATTTTCTGGGCTGATACCGCTAGCCAATTTTTAAGGAGCCATACCGACCCACGTCAGTCTGATTCTAACATGCCCCAGAATTCGCCATAGTCCCTGCTCCCAGCACAGCCTGGCCCCTTACTGGGAAGAGCCCAGTACTGCTCAGGCCCCAGCCTGCAGCAGCAGCAGCCCACCCCTTGACCTGCATGCAGATCCAGGGGCACACATCACCTGTGCCCTCCTGAGGTGCATGCAGGGGCAGGGGCAAGAGCATCCTCCCCAGGCCGGCTGCTCAGGGCTTCGTCCCACACCCTGCCCCGGCTGGGCAGCATCTGTCCCTGCCTCTGCCCCACTCCCTCACTGGGGGACCTCAATCTGCCCTTCTCCCACAACAAGCTTACCAACAATGCTGCTCTCCAAGCCGCTGGGCTGTGCTCCTGGCTGCGTGCATGCTGCAGCCATGCATATGCACGTGGCATTTAAAATCTGCCACATCAGGCAAAAAAGGCCGATTCCCATTACTCGCTATTTCCCTATATCAGTACACCTCTAGCCTTAGGTGCTGTATACTCTGTCCTGAGACGGATTGGCCCACTAGAGCAATCCAAAAAATTAAAGCAAGCACAGGTGTCCACTTCACCTTCCACATACCTCCCCTGAAGGAAGGTTGAATTAGGAAAAAAAGATTCACGGGAATCAGTGCCACATTCAGGCTAATCTGCACCCAGCTTGTTACTTTCAGGGTAAATGATATTGTTGGGTTTGGAGCCTGGACTAGATTAAAACTTGCTGGCACTAATAACAAAATCTCACAACACCCCTAGGATGCAAGTAAATGGTATTTTTTCCATTAAACTACATGAGACTAACAAAAGATAAGTGGAAGAGATAACAAAAGCTCTAAGGTCTCATAATGAGTCACTAGCAAAAATCAGAATTCAGCAGCAGATGACTCACATTCCTGTAGGACACATTCCCTTTCTAAATTGTGCAATATAAAAATAGGCCAGTTTGACTGCAGCTTTCACTGCGCAATGGGGCTTCACACTAAAGTTTGATTTAATGATTAGTGTAAAACACCTCAGTGTATCACAAAGTTTCCCTCTACGTCCCACCCTTACTGACCTTCACTTCATTACAACTCCTAATCTTTGACTGGTCCTGAACAAACCGTTTTTGCAGAAGTCCAATCAAGTCAGATATCTTTACCATTTCAAAGCTGTAGCTTATGTTGTTGCTTCCTTGCTTCTAATATAGGCCATTTCAGAAATAAAAATTATCCACACCCCCCCATATAGTAAACAAAACAGAGCCAGCCAATTTAGATAGAAATACAATTCATCCCAGTATTTGGAGTATCTTAGTGTGGCTCAGTTCATATTGGAAAATGCTGACTTGTGCAAAGTGAGCTCTTGAAGGATGCTATGAAAGCCTAAACATATTCTTTTGTACCATCATAGTATTTAATATTATAAAAGCCTTTGTCTGTCTGCCCATAATGCTTTATTCGCACTCTGATTGGCTGACTGAAACAACCAATAAGAGTGTGAATACAGCATTGGGACAGGAGCTGATGATACGGCAGAGCGCTGCCATAAGGGCTGAGACACGGGATGGAGTGGTGGCGAGGCCAGCACAGCCAGCCTCACTCCTCCTGCCGTGCTCCCCGCAAGCAGCAGCAATGGAGTGGACAGAATGGGGGTGGTGAGGCCAGAAGCTCTGGCCTTGCTCCCCCTGCCCTGCTCCCTGCAGGCAGTGACTATAGAGTGTACAGGGAGTGAGGCAGGGGGGAGCAGGGTCAGGATGCCACAGGGGGGCAAGGGTGAGGCCACCAGCGCTGGCTTCAGCCTGCACCTCCCCACTTCCACTGTTGCCGCCTGCAGGTCCAATGCAGCAGTGGTGTGGGGAGGGAAGGACCAGGAACATATGGGGCTCCATTCCTGCCCACTTCCCTCCCCCTCACCCCCCCATCATTCTTGACAGGCAATTGGCTAGTTAAATATATTTATCCCACCATATGCAGGGCGGGATATGTTTGCTTCTTACCCCACATGCCTACAAAATGGCAAACCTTTCACACCCATTGCTACATCAATATACTGTACCAGCAACAGGCTTTAAACAGGGACACAGCTACACTGACAGATACAATTTTTTTTTACTTGTATAGCAAAGCCACCCTCTTAGAGAAAAAAAGTGATATACATAGTTTCTAGGGTCGGAAGGGACCCGAGTAGATCATCTAGTCCGACCCCCTGCCATAGCAGGAAAGAGTACTGGGGTCAAACAACCCTAGCAAGGTGTACATCTAGCATGGTAGCAGTCTTGCCTGTATAATTAACTGTGTGTACATGAGAAGGTTCTGCTAGCAGAATAATGCTGGTTAGGGACCACACTGCAGACTGACATAGCTGTGCTGACAGAAGCCTGTAATGCAGACCTGGCCTGAGTCCTAGACACTAACCCTTCCAACTACCTAGTGCTCTCACATCACATAACTGACAAAAGAACTGCTGCTTCTGTTAGCAGTCCCACAGCTGCTAAATCAAGATCACTATGGTGTATATTTCTCTCCTTATATTAACATAAGATTGGGGGTATCCTTACATTCCACTCAAAGGTGTGATGGCAGTTTGTACAGATGTACTCAAAACTAGTTCACATGGGTGGTGACAACTGAGAAGCCAAAGCACCACAGAACAAACTGTCCGAGTATCTCCCCATAGCTTGAGTTGCATTCTGGGCAGCTGCAGTTCTGTCATCATTAGTACAGTTTAAACCTAGTTCAGGCACATCTGCACAAACTACCACTAAGCCTTTTGAGTGTGGAAGAAACAGCCTTATAGCTCTTACTGCTTTCCTGGGACAGGAAAACATACATCCCTCCTACCTCAAGATAGCTCTTGGCTACTAATAAGCCCCTGCCTCAAACTACATTTCCTGCCCCTGGCCAAACAGAATTTTCAAAACTACATGCAATACAGGCTCCCAATTTAGGTGTCCAACTTGCTTTGAAAGTTGGCCCTAACAGCATTATCTCTTACATCCTGTAAATCACATGCTTGACTACAGCACTTCATTTGCAAGCACGTACAAGTGCCAAATGGTAACCTGGGAAGCAAACATGAACTGCAAGGCAGAGTTCCTTGTAACAGTAACTATGCAGAATTAAACACACTAAATAAGTTTGTGTACATTTGATAGTCTCATACCATTAATGAATGAATTACATTTGTTCTGACTTAGTACATGTCATTTACCAGATTTCAGCTAATACTAGCAAGGACAGCTGTCTAAAAGAAAAGTGGAAAAAACTATACTAAAGCCACATTAAAATATGCATTGTTAAAACCACAAGAGGAAGAAATGCAAAAATAATAAGTCATACAAACTTTCAATACTGCTGCACATAATTTTTTTAATAGTTATATAAATCTAAACCAGTATCTTTCTTAAATAGAATATAAAATTAGAATTCTGTATACGTTTAGAGTTTAAAACATTATTTCATCCATTATTTTAATGGTACACAATACTCACATATGAAAGCTAAGAATAACTATCGAATAGTAATTCTGTGTTTAAGATGTTTAAATAAATGACAATGCAATAAAGTTGTTTTTATCAACTAACTTGATTTTTCTTTCTATAAACCAATATAAAATTAAATCAAATACATATCAGAGTTAGAGGGAATATTTAATTATTCAATGAAAATGACACTATGGGGAGTTTTATTTTTATTAGAACAGCAATTCCCAGATCAAATGTACTTAGCGTGCAAGGAAAAAAAAGCTGGAAGAGTCAAGTTTGCAATGACAGTAAACAGGACCTACCAGAAGCCTGCCAGAAAGCCATACCAGGCATTATTGGCCATTCAACAGAACCTAGAAAAGCCTGCAATTAAGTAAATAAAACCTTAAATTACTTTGATATTTAACAGTACTGACCAGTACTCTCATGCTCGGCAATATGAAAAAAGCATGGTCATCATAGCCAAATAAAAATATTTGAAATTAGGGGTAAAAGATGCTAGATGGCTCCCAGCAAGCACCTGACTAATTGGCAATCACAAACTACCTTTCAGTCACATTATATTAAACACCCATTAATTAAGTACTAGCTCAAACAATGAAGGATCATACAACATCAATTTCACTGGGCCAACCACATAATCCAGGTGTCTGACTCCACACAACCAAAGCAAGTTTTACTCTCCCAGCTCAGTCAAGGCATATGCTCAAGAGGAGGGCAGAGAAAGCATATCTTCAAGACCAACTTGAAAAAATGCAACATCAACTCGAGGAAGATTATCACCCATGACCACCACAAATGGAGGAAGTGTCTCCTGCAAGGATTTCAGTACTTTGAAACCTTTTGATGACAACTGGAGACAGAAAAA